AGATAAAGATAGAGATAGAGAGAGAGAGGGGGGGGGGGGCAGAAAATAGAAATCTAGTATGAGACTACTTAGTAAAGTACAACCAAAACACACCCAATAGCATAATGGAGACTTGGCAAAATTGGTCGCAACGGGTGGTAAAAGTGCCCCACCCAACTCAGGAAGTACAGGTCAACATTCCCCAGAGCGCCAACATACAAACAACATGCATAGCTTCTCACTGCAGCAAACCTTTCACAGTGCCCATCGTTTAGCTACTTCATCTAGCTGCTCTTGCCGGCAGGGGACATTGCACCATCGCAGCACACAGGCTTACAGATAGCCGTACATGTTATAACATATTGCTACATACCGGAATCCAAGTGAAAAGCAGACTACTAGTATCTCTATCCATGAGTGAAACTTACCCCAAGCATACCCGCCAAGTTCTTTTTCTTGCCGAACTTGAGGATCACCTGAACAGGAAAGAAAGACACAAACACACACACACGCACACACACTTGTACTTGTTGCTCACTGCCAAAACTGGTCACGTGGGTCTCCCCGGGAGAGGGGAGAGAGACTCAAAAGGAATCTTGGAAAGATGACTCAACTGGCTATTGAACCACCCAACGACCGACTCCCCCTGAAATCCCCAAAACTCTGGGTGGACTTGAAAATAATCCCACTTATGGGCTCACCACACCCCAGTAAGTGGGTGAGAACAAGGTGCAGAAAAAGAATTGACGGCATCAGGGTATCCGTCCTGGGATCCAACTGCAGTTACCCCTGCCCCAAACACACACACACACACACACACACACACACACACAGATAGAGAACAGAATACAGAGAATCAATAGAGAGGTTCCGGGGTACAATTTTCCGTGCCAAAATCCGTATGGGCGCTACGGATTTTTTCCAGGCGTGCTCCATACGATTTTTCGGCGCGGAGAATCCGTGTGGACTGGCTTTCATACGAACCATGTTTCGTATGGAGATTTTGCGTCATCGGGTGCAGAAAGATTTTTCGCGTACAAATTTGGTACGAGAAACATCGATTTTCCGCGGGAAGTTTTGATTTCGGTACAAATTTTCAAAATAAAAAGTCATAGCGCGGGGATGTGACGTGTTTGCGATCGTAACCTAGGAAATGACGGCAAACACATAAGTTCCGTACCCCGGAACTTTTCACTACTCGAAAACGACGTATAAAATATCCGTAGCGCCTCCACGGATTTTGGGGAACCTCCCTAATGTCACTGAGTGTGTGTGTGTGTGTGTGTGTGTGTGTGTGTGTGTGTGTGTGTGTGTGTGTGTGTGTGCGTGCGTGCGTCCGTGTGTGTGTGTGTAGTGAAGCTTTTATCAGATTCACTCTGATTTAGCCACTCACACTAGTAGCAAGTATTACCTTCACAGGGGGCAGGGGTAACTGCAGTTGGATCCCGGGACGGATACCCTGATGCCGTCAATCCTTTTTCTGCACCTTGTCCTCACCCACTTACTGAGGTGTGGTGAGCCCATAAGTGGGGTCATTTTCATGTCCACCCAGAGTTTTGGGGATTTCAGGGGGTGTCGGCTGTTGGGCGGTTCAATAACCAATTGAGTCATCTTTCCAAGATTCCTTTTGAGTCTCTCTCTCTCTCCCGATCAGTTTTGGCAGTGAGCAACAAGTACAGTGTATGTGTGTGTGCATGTCTGTGCATGTGTGTGTGTGCTTGTTTGTGTGTGTGCGCGGGCGCGTGTGTGTGCGTACGCACAATATGTCAGTAGTGCCGCATGACCTTACTACAACACCAGCATGTGCAGGTGGACGAAATGAAGACACTGCAAACCATGGTCCACACTATACAGTGCATGTATACTATTCACACACACACACACACACACACACAAGCACAGACACAGATACCCCCCACATACACACACACACACACATGCACGCCTGCATGTCGAGTCCACATTAGAAAGAATGCAAACAGCACAAGCAGCTCACGGGCCAGTGGTGCGCTGGGGATCAGTGGGTCATCGCTGAAGGCATCCGGGTTGTGCCGGTGGTAGTGATACGCTGCAAACATCACACCAACATCAATGAACACAGCATAGGGAAACCAAAGTGACTACTTCACACATCACAGTCACACTAGGTCCACATTGGGACAGTAAAGTAGGGGCGTCGGACACGGTACGGTCACTACGGTATTGACCGTACCACCATTTGTTCCAAGTACCCCGTGAATCTTTAAAATGCACGGATTTGGGCTCTAAATTTCCAAAATGTTCAGCTCAGCCATCCTTCCCTCACGAGTAAATTGTACTTCAGATGGCTGACCGTACCACACTAAAATACCTTCCCAAGCCCCTGTAAAGCCCTTGCAAAGTGAATACATGTAATGGTACAGATGTGCACATGTGAACTGAACACAGCACATAGGACACCAATAGCATCTTGATAAAGGACAATTGCACGCCAACACAGTTGAAATGCAAACACCAACACATGCACCAGAGAGACAGGCCACAAGGCAGTACAAAAAACTTTGTCTATCTACACTCTCACAGCAATGCAATGTACAGGGGAGGTACAAGGACTGCACAAGACTTAGCCTGACATGACCACACGTACACAGCATTCCGGGACGGGTGGGGTACGATGGTGGCTGCCATCCACTGTCACGGATTGCTTGTCGTTTCTCTATCTCCTCGGTGTGGTTGGCAAACAGCTCAGGCAAGTCGTAGTTCGCGTAACTATCAAAGCGCCTCTTGAACCAATGAATGCTCTGTGAGGAGACGAAAGCACAAATGGCAGTGCCCAAACAGTATTACTATCAGGCTGTCAGGCAGAATGGGAGAATGGGAGTTCCAACGCAAATGAATAGATACACGACTGCCAACTTTGCACCAGGCTGACAAGTGTAAGTACAAGTGCACATACTTGTGTGCATGTGTGCGTACATGCTTTTTAAGTCGCTATGATCCTGCAAGTAGCCCATTTAATACTGGCATTTGAGAGCAAGAGGGATTCGTATGTAAAGTAAAGTTTGCAAGAGGGATTGGCTTGCAGGAAAAACCAAAGCCGAGACTCAAAACTTGGAGACATAGAAATTCAAACGTGCTCCATTTTCGTGACTGAGCGGATGATAATATTATAATAGTGTGTCACCTGATGGCTGCAGTGAATGATCATGTACGGATCGGAATAGTTTGAGATCCCTCCCCCCAACCCAGACTCGCCAGATCCAGGCACCTTTCTGACCCCGTTTGAAGCATAAAAGATGCCTTTTCAATGAAAATAAGAAAAAAATGTGAACCCAGCCATCTGCAGACACAGAGCAACACATGTGACTCGAACCTATGCATCCAGAAAGAACACGTCAATATTATTGTGTTGCGAGTACATGTTTGGAAGCTTTTCATGACCGGATATTTTTCTGGAGCGTAAAGCTGTGTTCACAACTGGCGCGCGTTCGAGTGAAACCAAGCGTTTGTGCGTATTTTTGCTGGCTTTTGGGGCGCCATGCGTACGGAAACGCCCCGAAATAGAAATTCCAACATGTTGGAATTTTCAGCGTGTATCAGGCACGTACCAGCGTACATGCCAGTCACTTTGACTGGTGGGGTCAAAAAAATAAAATTCGAAGGTGTCCCACGCGCTAAATACGACTCGGATTGCTGTTTTTAGTGAAAGCCTGAGCGCGCGCTTGGGTACGCATGAACCGCAAGCATACCGCGTCCACGCGCCAGTTGTGAACACAGCTTAAGCCGCACTGGAGTATAAGCCGCACCCACCCCCCTTTTTCGGCACGAAATACAGACATCTACCCTATTCATCACTCTTAATGTGATCGTCGTAGTATACGCCGCACCCCTTTTTTTAGGGTGAATTCGTGGTATTTAATGTACAGTTTACACTCTGGAAAATACGGTGGTAGTTTTTCACTGGCAATTTGGGGTTTGAATTATCAGGATTCCGCTTGTAGTGGACTTTCAGCCTACGCTGGCGATGTGTGTGTGTGTGTGTGTGTGTGTGTGTGTGTGTGTGTGTGTGTGTGTGTGTGTGTGTGTGTGTGTGTGTGTGTCAACACAAATGCAAGAAGTAACTCTGCCCTCCTTGCCTCTTTGAGGCACTGCATCACCTTTAGGTGGCAGTTTCAAGGTTCAAGGTTCAAGGTTCAAGGTGTGTGTGTGTGTGTGTGTGTGTGTGTGTGTGTGTGTGTGTGTGTGTGTGTGTGTGTGTGTGTGTGTGTGTGTGTGTGTGTGTGTGTGTGTGTGTGTGTGTGTGTGTGTGTGTGTGTGTGTGTGTGTGTGTGTGTGTGTATGCACTACCATACTATATGATGGCAACAAACAAGTGAACTTGCCTCAATGACTCGAGCAAACCTGTTAGTGTTAGTAGCCCAAAATGAAAACACTGCAAATATATTGTACAAAATTATTGTCGATTTTAGCTACAGAAAAAGATAAGCGCTGGCTCTGGAGAGCTCCCGTGTTTGGCGATTTTGTGGTACACTGTGCCCGCCGCGCGATTCGAAACTTGAAAAATGGTCCAAAAAAGGCACCTTAAAGGGGAAGTATACCCTAAAATCAAATTTTCACCAGTTGTAGTCTTCTGGGTGCTGAGTCGAATGGTCTTGGTCCGAGGAAGCTGCGACGCTCCCTTCCTACTTGAATCCCAATCGAACTCGCGCACTTCCACCGAAACTGGGTGACTGCGCCCTACTAGATGGGGAATTGTATGCAAAATGTCACTAAAAGCGCCATTTCGTTCTTATAAAAGCACGGATGACCGCGATTGGCCCATATGTTGTAGTCTTTTGGACGCTGAGTCGACTGGTTTTGGTCCGAAAAAGCTGCGATGCAGCGTTCCTCCTTTATTCCCAATCGAACATGGTTGAACAAGCGGTCACGTGCTCCTGGGTGCCCAAATCACCTGGTCACCACGCCAGCAGGCGACAAATTTCACACCAAGGTTCAACTCGAGTTCAACTCGAGTGACAGGAGTGCACCCAAAAAAGGTCAAACAGGCTAGTAAGTTGTACCCTGCAGGCACGGTGACCAGGTGACTGGTGTACGCAGGAGCACGTGACCGCTTGTTCAACCATGTTCGATTGGGAATAAAGGAGGAACGCTACATCGCAGCCTTTTCGGACCAAAACCAGTCGACTCAGCGTCCAAAAGACTACAACATATGGGCCAATCGCGGTCATCCGTGCTTTTATAAGAACGAAATGGCGCTTTTAGTGACATTTTGCATACAAATCCCCATCTAGTAGGGCGCAGTCACCCAGTTTCGGTGGAAGTGCGCGAGTTCGATTGGGATTCAAGTAGGAAGGGAGCGTCTCAGCTTCCTCGGACCAAGACCATTCGACTCAGCACCCCGAAGACTACAACTGGTGAAAATTTGATTTTAGGGTATACTTCCCCTTTAACTGGGGTTCGAACTGCGAATGTTCTGTTATGCAAGTGGAGTGAACGGCCTGGATTTTCATGGTTTTTACCCAATTCAGTGCTTTGGGGGCAAAACCTGGCCGGAATCCTATTCTTGTTATGGCTTGCTTTTTGGAGAAATAGACTTCAAAAACACAATTGGAAGAGCATTCCATGGGGGATTGCCAAAAAAATTGTGACGAAAACTCAAAATTTGACCCGTTTATGGCCAAAAGCTAGGACATCATCTTTTTCTGAATGGACTGTAGTCCGCAGGGAAGACTGGTTACACTTACACTTGTTACAGTGTACAAATGCAATTATCATATCCCTTCACTCCAGTAGTGACTCTCACAAGGCGATACACGGAGATAAAGGTATGACGTAATTACATACACACATACATACATATCCAAAAATTTTAGCAGCAAAATGAAAATACATTTCCACCAAATGAATTTTCGAATTTGAATCGCTGACTGGCGACGGTTTTATACTCGACACGAGTAGTCTACGTGAGGTATTGAGCTCTGCAATGTCGACACGTAACTGCCTTGCGAAGCAATTATAAATCGCTGAGAAATACTTCGACAAGCCAAGGTGCTGTCAATTGAGAATTTCTCAATCACTGAGAAGAATTTCAAAATTAACGTTCTCAATTTTACATTTTGAACGAAGTTTCAACAGAAGACGTTCTTCCTTGGGCCTACTTCAACACCATAAATAAATCACTTACAGCAGCTGCTCCCACTGCCACGAAGATCAGGAATTGCAGTGGCCTCATAAATGGGATAATACCTAATCTTCTTGGGTGAGGCACTCGATACTTTTCACTTTGCCAAGTTGTACCAAATATGTTAGTGTCATCAGGGTTATTCTGCCTGAGGTATCGTCTTGGAACGGAAACAGGCTCAACAATTCGTGGAGAAACACTAGGGCCAATGCTCGGGCGGCCCATGGCCGCCTGGCCAATGCCGCCAAGCTTGGCGAGACGAAGACTACGCAACGCCATTCTCGCCTTCTTCTGCGAGCGCGCATGCGCAGTGGACGCAATATCAAGAAAACGTCAATCAGGATTTACTGATAAGACTTTTAGTGATAGCGCGCTGCATGGGTGCACTGCATGCATATGCATGCCAACTCACTGGGCTGACTGACTGTACGAGTACTTCGGTGCAACTGACTGTACCCAGCTTGCTACATGTAGCTACACTTGCGCGAAGTAACACCGTTAGTTGCGGCAAGAGAAGATTTCTTTTTTGTAGTCGCAAGAAAAGTGAGAGGCGATAGAGAATCAAGAAGGGGAAGATGTTGGCGCGTTTAGCATCTCGCACGGCCAAGGTGGCGGCCAGGTCGCCAGCTGCAGCCATCAGCGCTCGCCACGATAGCCATTTCAACCCCTCTGTTGTCAATAGCCAGAACTTGACACAGGAGCAGGTGATTGCCAAGCTCGACAGCGACATCAAGAAGAGAGAAGATGAGCGATTTCGCTGGCTGCGCATGGGCCTTCCGTGGACGCAGACGTACGTGATAGCGGATAGCGGCTTCGAGTATTGTCGAGGTGGCATACCAGGCTGGGCGTGGATGCTGGCTGGAACTGTGACGCTGGGATTAACATCCTACAAGGTATGGGCAAGAAAATATACTGGTATCCCCCCAAACACCTCCAAATATCAAATCCCCTGCGAAGTGTCGCGTAGGCCAGGTCGTTGTTTACCTACAAGTCCCCCTCGCACCGTAATCATGGCCTTCACAACCCGTCCATGATGTTGGATTAGCCATCTTAGCGTCTGGAGACACTAGCGATGACTTCTCCTGCTGCTTATGACCCCAGTGTGGGCGATGTTGCAAATTTGGGTATGCAGCTTTCCTCCTGCACCTTCTCCTATTCATGTATATACTACACCGTACTAAGAGTAGGTGTGATCTGCTCAAAATGTACATCCTTTGTACTTGTCCAAACGAGCAAAGTGGACCAATGTCACATTCGCTTCCATGTAATTGGGCATGTAGCCCGTGCTTACTTGCGAATTCAAACGAGAGAGCTTGGAAGCTCAGGGCCCTACGCTATGCTTTTTTGCCTTGATGACCTAGACAAAAAAAAGCATAGGGATGTTATAAATTCTTTAAAAAATTCCTTTTTTTTAAGACATAACCTGGGATTCGAACCCGCACTATCGCGCTCCCTGCATGCATCCCCCGATACACTTCGCATACATACTAATTCTTCCAAGTTGTTTCACATTGTGATCTTGCATTTGAAAGCCCTATTTGAATATGCATTGTGGCCAGCCGTCTTTGATGGCACGGTACGGTAGGGGATAGGTACGGGACAGGTACGATCGAGGGTAATACGACATCGTCTCCCGTACCGTACCGTACCATCAAACACAGCTGGCCACATACAGCTGCCCGCAATATTCAAATAGGGCTTTCAAACGCAAGATAATAACGTAAAGCAACTTGGAAGAATGGGTATGAATGCGAAGTGTATGGGGGAATGCATGTAGGGCGATAGTGCGGGTTCGAATCTCAGGATATGCCTGAAAAAAAGGAGAATTGAAAAATTTATAACATCCTATGTTTTTTTGCCCTCAGATACGGATAGCGCCAGGCGTGACACAAACAAACACACAAACAAACACCAAATTAAAGCTGTGTGGACCCTGGCTAGCGCCAGACGTTACTGAAGTAACGTCTTCTGCATAGCTACGGGAATAAAATATACATACATACATGTACAGTCTACTCCACTTAAGTTATAACGAACTCGCTGATATAGCGAACCATTGTCCATGTCCCTGTTTGAACTAGGGGTGAAACTGTTCGATGTTTTTTCATGTTCGGGTACCCTAATGCCAGCATAGTGTCCCACAGTTCGGGTATCGGTTCCATGCACTCTTTTCTCCAGACCGACAAAATGGGTTCGAGACAATTATTTTTTAGAAAACATGTTTGCGAGCAAGAACGAGACATCAGAGAGTCCATGTGCGAAGAAGATATTGACCAGGAGAACCCTATGGACGGGTGGTGATCGTTCTTGAGTAGACTTGACATGTATTTGTACGAAGACAAGGTTTTTCGAGTTTCGGTTCAAAATTTGACGGAACAGGTACCCGATTCTTTTCAGCTGGCGGCTCCAAAACCGGTTCCTTACCCGAACCGTTTCACCCCTAGTTTGAACCCATACAAAATTGACCCTTTGTAGCGAACAGTTTTCGTTTATAAAGAAGCAAATCTTGTCTTGGCTGCATGTAAACCCAGTGTACTCATAGACTTATGAAGCACTTGCCAGCCATGACTTGCTGCTGGTACAGTGTGGGTGCATTTCTGTTATAACAAACTTCGGCGATAAAGAACTAATTCTCCTACACAATGGTGTTCGTTATCATCAGGAGTCGACTACATCTTTGACCAATTTGTGTCGTGTTTGCCTTTTCCTCATATGTACGTACTGCACTGCAGTTCTTCACTGAGCGCTTCCACGACCCGTACGTCCACCAACACAACCCAAAACCAGACTTGGAGGAGTACCACCGCATCAAGAGCAGACTGGCCGATGAGCCGGACTTCTGGAACTGGGACGAGAGAGACGCGGCCAAGGAGGCAGCAGCCGAGTGATACTAATATAACGTGCCCAGGTCCATTGTAAGTGAACATACTGTTGTTGCAATAAGCCTCACCACCATGACACTCCTCTATTGATCATAATTACCACACGATGATATTGGAGTATGGAAGTTCTTAAAAAAAAATTAAAAAACTCTCTGTCCATGCCTCGAAGTGAGATGCAGTTGGGAGGTTCAGGGTTGACATTAGGGAGGTTTAGTTCCCACGTAACAGAAACGCGTACGTGGGTGATCCACGTAAAGTGGATGAAGGGCACCCACGTTGCAATGGTGTGTTTAGTCACACAGAACAAACAAAAGCATGAAGCGAAAGGCCCAAACCTGGTCAAAGACGAAGCTACCCGGGCCTAAGAAGCTCATCCAATATTTTGATTTCGTGCTTCGGAAACTTCTTCAGCTGAGCACCCTCACAGCTCGCACAATGCGCTCCATTCTGATTTTCACCCACGTTTTGGCGGAACGTGGGTGAGCCTCCATACACGGTATGTCGTGAATCAGAAAACGTCTGTACGTGGGTCACTGAGTATCACGTGGTACACACACGTAAAGTACCCACGGATTACGTGGGACTAAACCTCCCTACAGTCCATTCAGAAAAAGATGGACTTCTAGCTTTTGGCCATAAATGGGTCAAACTTTGAGTTTTTTTAGAGTTTTTTTCTGCAATCCCCTATGGAATCCTCTTCCAATTATGTTTCTGAAGTTTTTTTGTCCAAAAAGCAAGCCATAACAAGAATAGAATTTCGGCCAGGTTTTGCCCCAACAGCACTGAATTGGGAAAAACCATAAAAATCCAGGCCGTTTGACCCCGCCTGCAAACGTGCATTGTGCGGTTCGAACCCCAGTTCAGGTACCCTTTTTGGACCCTTTTTCAAATTTCAAATTTCGCAGCACTGCACTGTGTACGATGAAATCACGAAAAATCGCCAAATACGGGAGCTCGCCAGAGCCAATCTTTTTATGAATGGACTGTAGTGTAGTCATGTACATGTGTGTGTTGACTTGCAAGCTGGCCACATGCTTCTCGGGCAGGTTCAGGGTTGACATTGTAGTACATGTGCAGTTTGACTTGCAAGCTGGCCGCATGCTTCTCTCCATGATCTGAGCACATAGAGTGCACGCCAAGGCCAGGGTGCATTCACCTCTGCTTTAGTAGTCTCATTGTGAGATGTGAATGGTATACATTACGCCATGCTGTTGTGGACCACACCACATGCACAGTACACAGTGTACAGTAGCTGTGGTGATGGTGACGATGGGCTGTACAGTGCCTACCGGCTAGAGGTTAGATCCGCATGATACATCACCGTGGCACGGCACAAGAACATGTGTGCAGGGTCCTTTTGTACATGTACAAGTGAATGATCCTGGCAGATGTGTGCATGATTATACCTTCAGAGCCACGTACTCCTACTGATCCTTTGATGACCACACATGCTAGCGACAGACAGGCAGACGGACAGACAACACAAAGCTCGTGCCATCGAGTCCAAGTGACGGTCAGCGCTGTATAATATGTACACCATCGGTCTGGTTCATTTTCCACACCTGTAGCACGACCGCCGGAAGCAGTTTTCAATTGGTCCGGTCGTACCATAGTCTATCATACGTTGTGTATAACATGGCGGGGACATATGCCCTCCTCAGCAGTTAACATGTGTTGGTAGCTACAAAGTTGGTCCGGTGTTAACCTGACCAACCAGACCGGTTCCGGCGAGCCTGTGTAGTTTCACAAGGAGCATAGATGTCGTTCATGCAATGCCGGAGTAAAGGCAATCAGTACGTAACGTCTTGTCGTCTGCTGTTTCTCCTTGTTTGCGTGAACATTGCAGTTATTGTCCCCAGGCTTCAACCCATCTCGTGTTGAATGCCTCTTGTCCATCGGGTATTTCCCATTGCTGTTAGCTGAACCAACGCTGCGGACCTGTATTCCAGGTCATACGGTTACCATCACGGTTCAGAGTCGCTGCTGTGTATATATTTATGTTCCGTTTTGTGTTATTTCTGCTAGTACCTATTACCATGCAATGCTTTCGAATGGTTATACTCCCATGCTAGCTGTACCATGTACTTCAAAGTAGGAATTTTGTGATTCGCGAGGGTGACGTAAGTTGCTTAAATTTGGAACATATGTACACATATGGTCCGCTGCTGTTGTTCCTTGCCAGTGCTATGGCTGTTGCTGTGTTGTTTGGCAAGTAAATTCTCATTTCCGCAACTTTATTTCCTCCATGATTATTGTACCCCTGAATGAAAACATGGTCGTGTGTTAGCTGTGGGTTTTGGCATGGTTCTAGTCCTGGAGAGAAGAGACAGTTCTCGCTGTAGGGATTCCAAGTTGCACCCCCCCCCCCCCCCCACCCACCCACACACACGCTGCATTCCTAAGGCGGAAACGTATTACGCAACATGAATAGCAGCTAGCACAATTGCCAACGTACAAGAGCATGTTGAGTGGTCTTTTCTGAGCTAACAACTGCACCATTGCGCCATGGTAGGGCATTCATTCGGTTGACCTATACATGTAGCTACTTCTCTCCAACTCCCATTAACTTAAAAATAATATTATTATTGTACCTCTTCCGCTACATGTACTGGTACACATCCGCAGTGGCTTTTGTTGGATGCCTCAAAAACACAAAACCTGCATACAAAAGCATGCCGCCATTGATGTCACAGCTTGCAGAGGCAAGGTTCTGCACTTGGAAGTCATGATGGGACAAAGATGCCACTAGCACTACAAGCAAGAGTTCATAAACTCTTGCTACAAGTCTACAACCAGCCCAGCATGTGAAGTGTCGAAGCCTCTCTTCATCTGCCCTCTCACAAGCGCAAAGCAACTGTATTCACACAGATTAGGCCAAAACAAATAATGACCTTGTTTCCGGTCGCCCGACTGGGCCACTTTTTCCCAAATTCTGAAACTTTTTTTGGTCCCAAATGTATACAAACGGTGGCAATGCCATGTGTGCAAGTGCACTCAACGAGTCATAACTCAGTCAAATCTCAACCGAATTCCACAATCGAAACACCGACAAGGTAGCAGAGATTCTCAGCTGTCGGCTCGAAAACCTATGGGGTCGATACGAGCTAGAATAACGGAGCTGGAAGGACTCGAACTGTTTGCTTGATTTCTCAGGATGTACGAAAACAGGAATACACCACATGCTGTACAAGAACAGTGAGTCAGTCAACTTTGACATTGATCCTTGCCATGATATATGTACAATGTACATGTGTAGGTGCTCTTCAAAATTTTGTTGGGAAATCTGCTACGACCTCCAGCAGGAACAACACATCGTCACGGGCCATGGCCTGGAAATACATTCTTCCAGCTTTCGTACCAGATGGAGAGTAGGAGTTCGACACCGGGCTAGAACAAGTTTCGGAGGTATACAGCGTTGCTGCACCTTGACCTGCTGCCAAAGACACACCGGTACTTCTAGGCTGCGCCATGATAACTCCGAAAACACCTCGTCCTAAAAATTCAAAAATGCAAATCGAATGCAAGAAGAGATGGTCAAAACTGCAACTCGTACTCGGAGTGTGTAGATGCGTAGCGTTCTGGCAGAACGCAGGTACTAGAAGCCTCTTTGATCTTGTACGGACAAAGCAAAATAAAAAGAAGAAGAGAAGAAAAACAAAACTAAAAAGGAGCACCCATTTTGTTAAGCCAGGGGCTGGCTCACGCCTGGCATGAAAAAGAGAGATTAAGAAGTTTAAAAAAAGTAATTAGTTACTTCTCAGAAACTAGACAATCAATCATGATGACAACTGTCTAGCTGACCACCATGCACCAGCTGTGCCTCTGCTCGGACCAGGTCGACAGGGGCATGGTCAAAGTGACGGCGGCAAAGGTTACATCCTGCGTTGTGATTTTGGCCGGAAACGTACTAGTGGGCCAGATACGTAACGTTTTTACGTAGTGCTAGGCCGTCATCACACTATGTAAAAACGATACGTATCTGGCCTACTACTATGTAGACAAGGGAAAAAAACTATGTAGACAATCATAGAGGTCTGGCAGGACTTTACGGCTGAATCAAGGCTGTACGCACGAGGCCTTGATGAAGGCGAAACATCCTGCCAGACCTCTATGATGGTGTTTCAGGTTTTGTCTTTCGCTTTTCTGGTATAAAAGCAAGACACGTATACAATGTAGGAGTGGTGGTCGGGGACGTGGTGGATTCAGCTTGTGAGCTTTAGCTCCTTCAGCTTGTGAGTTTCAGCTCCGTTCGCTTCTCATGGATGGGATGATCCTTGGTCCATGATCTTTCGCTTCCTCAAAATTATCAGAAAAGTTCAGCAACTCGTCAACTCCTATTTTCATGTAGAACAGAAAGTGGAAAACTGATCGCGATGTTTGCCATAGATAGGTGCATGCTCTTTCGCTTATTCACAACTAGCGTAAAATTTCATCTCCACTCACGACAACAAGAACTCCGTGGTGGATTCAGCTTGTGAGTTTCAGCTCCGTCCGCTTCTCATGGATGGGATGATCCTTGGTCATGATCTTTCGCTTCCTCAAAATTATCAGAAAAGTTCAGCAACTCGTCAACTCCTGTTTTTTAGTACATGTAGAACAGAAAGTGGAAAACTGATTGTGATGTTTGCCACTTATTTCACCTTGCTTCTTAGCAGATAGATAGGTGCATGCTCTTTCGCTTATTCACAACTAGCGTAAAATTTCATCTCCACTCACGACAACAATTACAAGAACTAACTACAGTAACTAGTTTACTTGAGTTGAAAATTGACCACGCGTGCACGATGTGTAGACACTTTTCATGTTGCCGTTTTTGGACAGGCTGTGTTTACCAGCTACCTAGTACCTGTGTTCTGACCCTACGACTAGCATGTAACCATGGTAACTGTTCACAGTCAGTCAGTCGAATGTGGCCTGACACTTGACAGAGTCTACGGGGTGCCATTGACGACGGGCTTCTACTACTTTTCTACCGTATTTTTCCGTATCCATTGACCACCACTGTCACTGACCACGCGGGCTTTATCGGCTCATCAAGCGCAAGGCCACCGTGCACGCGTGGGAACGTCGCTCATTGGCTACAACCATAGAAACGGTACGGTAAAACTGAAAGTACGTTTCCGGTTTCGGCCAAAATCAAAACGCAGGATGTAACCTTCGCCGCAAAGTCTTTCACTCTACAAAAGATGTCTTTTTGTCGTCGCAAGAAAAGTAGAGGCGATAGAGAATCAAGAAGGGGAAGATGTTAGCCCGTTTAGCATCTCGCACGGTCAAGGTGGCGGCCAGGTCGCCCGCTGCAGCCATCAGCGCTCGCCACGATAGCCATTACAACCCCTCTGTTGTCAATAGCCAGAGCTTGACACAGGAGCAGGTGATTGCCCAGCTCGACAGCGACATCAAGAAGAGAGAAGATGAGCGATTTCGCTGGCTGCGCATGGGCCTTCCGTGGACGCAGACGTACGTGATAGTGGATAGCGGCTTCGAGTATTGTCGAGGTGGCATACCAGGCTGGGCGTGGATGCTGGCTGGAACTGTGACGCTGGGATTAACATCCTACAAGGTATGGGCAAGAAAATAAACTGGTATCACCCAAACACCTCCAAATATCAAATCCCCTCAAGTGCAAAGTGTGGCGTAGGCCAGGTCGTTGTTTACCTACAAGTCCCCCTCGCACCGTAATCATGGCCTTCACAACCATCCACAGGGGCGTAGCGTAGCCCTTTTTAATCTGCTTTGGAAGGTTATGTTACACGACATAGTGTACAAAATTCACCCCATTTTCATTTTTGCAGCCAAGGATGCTGGCTCAGTCAGCTCCTTTTATTTTGGGGTAAACTGTGCTCAGAAACGAGTCTGAGAAACGAGTCTGAGAAACGAGTCTGAGAAACGAGTCTCAGAAACGAGTCTCAGAAACGAGTCTCAGAAACGAGTCTCAGAAACGAGTCTCAGAAACGAGTCTCAGAAACGAGTCTCAGAAACGAGTCTGAGAAACGAGTCTCAGAAACGAGTCTCAGAAACGAGTCTCAGAAACGAGTCTCAGAAACGAGTCTCAGAAACGAGTCTCAGAAACGAGTCTCAGAAACGAGTCTCAGAAACGAGTCTCAGAAACGAGTCTCAGAAACGAGTCTCAGAAACGAGTCTGAGAAACGAGTCTGAGAAACGAGTCTGAGAAACGAGTCTGAGAAACGAGTCAGAGAAACGAGTCTGAGAAACGAGTCTGAGAAACGAGTCTGAGAAACGAGTCTGAGAAACGAGTCTGAGAAACGAGTCTGAGAAACGAGTCTGAGAAACGAGTCTGAGAAACGAGTCTGAGAAACGAGTCTCAGAAACGAGTCTCAGAAACGAGTCTGAGAAACGAGTCTCAGAAACGAGTCTCAGAAACGAGTCTCAGAAACGAGTCTCAGAAACGAGTCTCAGAAACGAGTCTCAGAAACGAGTCTGAGAAACGAGTCTGAGAAACGAGTCTCAGAAACGAGTCTCAGAAACGAGTCTGAGAAACGAGTCTCAGAAACGAGTCTCAGAAACGAGTCTCAGAAACGAGTCTCAGAAACGAGTCAGAGAAACGAGTCTGAGAAACGAGTCTGAGAAACGAGTCTGAGAAACGAGTCTGAGAAACGAGTCTCAGAAACGAGTCTGAGAAACGAGTCTGAGAAACGAGTCTGAGAAACGAGTCTGAGAAACGAGTCTGAGAAACGAGTCTGAGAAACGAGTCTGATTCAGCAGAAAACATGTACAGTCAACTTGGCTTATAACGACACTCGGCGGCGGGGCATCAAAAAGGTGTCCTTATTCGCGAAGTGTCGTTATCCCGAAGTCTCATTGTATGTATTACAGCGGGATGGGACTTTGCTCTGGGCATGGAAATTCTGTCGTTATTCCCGAATTGTCGTTATTAGCGAAGTTGACTGTATAGAAAATTTTCCTTTGATCTTCAACTACAACACACTTTTTTTGCACATGTACCGTAAAGTACCGCCAGAGCGCCCCACCACCTCATCCTTTCGTGGTCGTATTGTGGAGGTGGTCTGCTGTCTGTAGGTCATACCAAGAGTACATAACCCCCCAGAGTGTGCAACTCGACTATGGGTGCTGTCCCGACATAATTTCAAGTTGACGTCATTTTGATGATGCAATGCGCACTGTACACGGATTATCAGACGAATCCGGAACCTGTGGTTGACCGAAGCCAATCTGATCCTGTACAAATTATTGCAAAGAAAAACGTGTGATGCGTTGACACCCGTACACATGTTGTAAATCACTGGTGCAAGGAGCATTGCGTCGTAAATAATGACGTCAACTTGAAATTCTGTCGGGACAGCAGGCAGGGTATGTGGGAGTTGCACACTCTGGGGGGTTATGTACTCTTGGTCATACAACATGAACCTTGTACACATATTGCACGTTTTGCAGTCAATCCGTACCTTCGAACGGACACAAGCTCCACACAAAAACCTGCCAAGTGTGACTTTAGTACACTAAGATTCTCACATGGTACAAACTTCGTTGCACTCTGCCATACGATTTTCCTTTCCCTGGCTGTAAAATCAAGGTGGGGCGCTCTGGCGGTACTTTACGGTACTATCAGCTGCTTCTTTAATGTTTTTTCGGGAGGATCCGACATAAGACTTGCAAACAAACATGCTTCTTTTCCTCGAACGGCAGGGAGCAGCAAGTAATTAGTTGGAACCAAAACCGCACAGTGTAGTCACTTCACACCAGGGAGCAGTAAAACACCAGCATTTGCTACAGTCCTTGCTTCACACTCAGATCCTCTCGTTCCGGTCATGTCATGCTGCTGTTTTTCTGTTTGCAAAGGTACTGTAGTACCGAAAATGGCTGCATGTACAATCATGTTCAAGACTGACATACAGACTCAGTATACCGCGTACAAACATGTATGAAGGACCTACCCGGTACATGTAAAAGTCCAGTGCACGCATCGACACATGGATGAACAAGGTTACGTTGAAGGCGGGCACTTTGCGATACTCTTTATCCTGTTTTGGACGTTTTGCGGACATGTTGTTGTTGTTTGGCTTTATTTAGAGTGGAGTTCCAAAACAGGCCTACACCTAATGACAATGGTCCAATAAGGACATGGTACAGAAAACTCTAGCTGCTTTGTTTGCGTGTTTTGCGATACGGCGTTACGCGCCTGCATCCATGATGTTGGATTAGCCATCTTGGCGTCTGGAGACACTAGCGATGACTTCTCCTGTTGCTTATGGCCCCAGTGAGTGTGGGCAATGTTGCAAATAATTATGGGTATGATGGAGCTTTCCTGCTATGTCTTCCCCTTCATGTATTGTACTACACTGTACTAAGAGTGTGATCTGCTCAAATGTACATCCTTTGTACTTGTCCAAACGAGCAAAGTGGACCAATGTCACATTCGCTTCCATGTAATTGGTGTGTAGCCCGTGCTTACTTGCGACTTCAAATAAAATATACATACATACATGTACAGTCTACTCCACTTAAGTTATAACGAACTCGCTGATATAGCTAACCATTGTCCATGTCCCTGTTTGAACTAGGGGTGAAACTGTTCGATGTTTTTCATGTTAGGGTACCCTAATGCCAGCATAGTTTCCCACGGTTCGGGTATCGGTTCCATGCACTCTTTTCTCCAGACCGACAAAAATGGGTTCGCGACGATTATTTTTGAGAAAACATGTTTACGAGCAAGAACGAGACATCAGAGAGTCCAGTTGCGAAGAAGATAATGACCAGGAGAACCCTTTGGAAGGGCGGTGATCGTAAGGTAACGCATTTATAAATGTGTTACCTCTTGAGTAGACTTGACGTGTACATGTATTTGTACAAGAACGAGGTTTTTCGAGTTTCGGTTCAAAATTTGACGGAACGGGTACCCGATTCTTTTCAGCTGGCGGTTCCAAAACCGGTTCCTTACCCGAACCGTTTCACCCCTAGTTTGAACCCAGGGCCTGCTCTAGACATTCAACACAGCCCGGTCAAAGTGTACCTGGCGCATGCAGGCCAGCCGGGTCAGATCATCCGGCAGAAAAACAACCAAAAAGCCTGCTCAAAACGCAGGAAAACAGAAAGGCGAATTTATTACCGGAAATCGGAAAGTTTAGAGAACAAGGCCAACTATCAAAGTCCGCAAACGTAGAAGGTAAACGACAAAGCGTGAGTTCTTTTTCTCTTCGCGCCACTTTTGACTGCCTGCCCCCATCGACTTTGAATGTCCTGACTTCCTGCTCGCCGCTGGCCAGATCGCGCTCGAACCAGTTGACCCCAGTTGACCCAAGCCGAGTTTCTGTCGCTTGTAGACTGTAGTGTAGTGTGTACGATTGCGCTAGATTTGCAACAGATGGGGTCCGCGAGTCGTAAAATACCGGTATTTTTGGAATCCATTGTCAGTTTGAGACATTTTTCAGCCAGGTCAGACTGGACCCGGTGTTATCTGTTCAGCCAGGTCGTGCAGTTCCCCAGCCGGGCGCGTGACCCGCCTGACCCGGCTCTCCAGCAGGCTCTGGAACCCATACAAAATTGACCCTTTATAGCGAACAGTTTTCGTTGATCAAGAACCAAATCTTGTAGGTCTGCATGTAAACCAAGTGCACTCATACTGTCATGAGCCACTTGCCAGTTTTGACTTGCTGCTTGTATAGTGTGAGTGCATTTCTGTTTGACCAATTTGTGCCTTGTTTGCCTTTTCCTCCCATGTACGTACTGCACTGCAGTTCTTCACTGAGCGCTTCCACGACCCGTACGTCCACCAACACAACCCAAAACCAGACTTGGAGGAGTACCACCGCATCAAGAGCAGACTGGCCAATGAGCCAGACTTCTGGAACTGGGACGAGAGAGACGCGGCCAAGGAGGCAGCAGCCGAGTGATACTAATATAACGTGCCCAGGTCCATTGTAAGTGAACATACTGTTGTTGCAATAAGCCTCACCACCATGACACTCCTCTATTCATCATAATTACCACACGATGATATTGGAGTGTGGAAGTTCTTAAAAAAAATTAAAAAACTCTCTGTCCATGCCTCGAAGTGAGATGCAGTTGGGAGGTTCAGGGTCGACATTGTAGTACATGTACATGTGTGTGTTGACTTGCAAGCTGGCCACAGGCTTCTCGGGCAGGTTTATTGTTGACATTGTAGTACATGATTATGTAGTTTGACTTGCAAGCTGGCCACTGTAGTGTAATGAGTAGCATCATGACAGAACTCTATCCCTAGGCATATCATTGTCTGTCTCCAGGTTTCTCCTTCCTACTCCCTACACTCACTCGCATTGATCTAACGTGTGTACTTGTATAAGAACCGCAGCCTGCCTGCTGTACCATTGACTCATGCATGTATGTACCTCTGCATTTGCTGGCTGCGCATCACTAACCCTTCCCCTTCGATGGCACAGTCCCCGCACTGAATGCAGTACTCGGGGTGTGACAGCTGTCTACGTGCCGGGTCCACGCCTCGTAGTTGCAGATGCTCTGTCCCGGGCTCCCGGCGATGACAGCACCGACACCTCCACCATGGCCGACGTCATCAACGACATCGAAGCCCATGTGTCTGCCGTCTCGGCTGAGTATGCATCGCCCGACTTCTGCAGCCGTGTTCGCCTCGCCATAGCCAATGAGGCCACCCTCGCCCAGGTGCGCCAGTTCATTGCTGCCGGCTGGCCCGACAAAGAGCACAGCATCCCGGACAACCTCCACCCACACTTCCACTCCAGGCAGGCCCTCTCCGTCGCCGACGGCTGCCTGTACTTCGGCGACCGGCTAGTCATACCTGCGTCCCTGCAGTCCGAGGTCTTACGGGCAATCCACGAGTGTCATCAGGGCGTCACCAAGTGCCGTGCCCGGGCAGCAGTGTGGTGGCCAGGGCTTAGCAGTCAGATCGCCGACACAGTCCACAACTGCGAAGTCTGCAGCCGGACACGCCTGGTCCCCGCAGCTCCACTGCACCCTCTGCCACTCCCAGACCGCCCATGGCAGCGCGTTGCGGCCGACCTCTTCACACTGGATGGTATCGACTACCTGATTACGGTTGACTACTTCTCCCGATTTGTGGAAGTGGATCAGCTCCGCACCACAACATCCGCCGCCATCATTGCGGCCCTCAACATGCACTTTGCGCGGCACGGTTTCCCAGACAGCTTCGTTTCTGACAACGGGCCGCAATTTGCTAGCTCTGAGTTCGTACTCTTCCTGACCCGTCACGATATCGAGCACCGTACCAGCTCACCTCGCTACCCGCAGAGCAATGGCATGGTAGAACGCTCGGTGCGCACCATCAAGGAGCTACTCCGCAAGTCCACCGACCTCCCGGCAGCTCTACTCGCGTATCGCTCTACCCCGTTGCAATGTGGTTTCACCCCTGCTCAGTTGTTAATGGGTCGGCAACTCCGCTCCACAGTGCCATCACCCGCGGCCCAGCTGGCACCAGCCTGGCCAGACCTGGATCTGGTTCGCCGTCGAGAGGCTCAGCAGCAGGACCGGCAAGCCTCGGACTTCGACCGCAGACACTGTGTCCGCTTGCCTGGTCGGCTCGCAGCGGGGGACCGGGTCTGGGTTACAGACCTGCGCCAGAAGGGAGTGGTACAGCTGCAGCTCAGTGAGCGATCTTACAATGTCAAGACAGCCACCTCCACTGTACGTCACAATGGGAGGAGCCTCCGGCCACTCCCGCCAAGCACAGCAGAAGTGGAGACACCAGCAGCCCCCATCGCCCTGCAGCCAGAGGCCACCGGGACACGCGGCAGAGAATCTCCCGTGGCGAGCTGCGACGGCACACCGGCCACTGCCGAGGCCGGCACCACTGCCGAGGCCGGCACAAGTGCCACCTCCACTACGCGTTCAGGTCGCAAAGCCATTGCACCTGAGCGGCTTATCTCGACCATGTGAACATGGACCTTCCCCTCTTTCCGTTAGGGGAGATGTGGTGTAATAAGTAACATCCTGACAGAACTCTGTCCCTGAGCATAGCATTGCCTGGGCCTGCAACTCTTTCCGTTAGGGGAGATGTAGTGTAATGAGTAGCATCATGACAGAACTCTATCCCTAGGCATATCATTGTCTGTCTCCAGGTTTCTCCTTCCTACTCCCTACACTCACTCGCATTGATCTAACGTGTGTACTTGTATAAGAACCGCAGCCTGCCTGCTGTACCATTGACTCGTGCATTCATGTACCACTGCACTTGCCGGCTGCGCATCACTAACCCTTCCCCTTCGATGGCACAGTCCCCGCACTGAATGCAGTACTCGGGGTGCGCGTGCGTATTCATGTCTGACTGCACTGCCCTCGGGCTCCATCTATACATGGCATCCCGTACTGGGCACGCTGCTTCCGGTCGCTGCTGTGTGCACGCAGCACCGCCGTCCATTCCGCTCTCTGTCTTCTTTACACAGTGATTCCCGATTGGAATCTCTCTTCGTTTCTGCTCTCATTATAGTTAGCTGTGCTTTTCCGTGTCCGATAATGTTCCCCCTTTTGCAATAAACATTCAGGCGAAACTACTCCAAGTAGCTACCGCTACAGCCACATGCTTCTCTCCATGAGGCTGAGCACATCGAGTGCCCGCCAAGGCCAGGGTGCATTCACGTCTGCTTTAGTAGTCTCATTGTGAGATGTGAATGGTATACATTACGCCATGCTGTTGTGGACCACACCACATGCACAGTACACAGTGTACAGTAGCTGTGGTGATGGTGACCGTGGGCTGTACAGTGCCTACCGGCTAGAGGCTAGATCCGCATGATACATCACCGTGGCACGGCACAAGAACATGTGTGTAGGGTCCTTTTGTACATGTACAAGTGAATGATCCTGGCAGATGTGTGCATGATATAATTATACCTTCAGAGCCACATACTTAAATTTATCGTTTTGATGACCACACAAGCAAACAGGCTAGCGACAGACAACGACAACATAACGCGCGTGCCATCGGCATCGAGTCCAAGTGTCAGCGCTGTAAATGTACACGATCAGTCTGGTTCATTTTCCACACCTGTAGTTGCGCAAGGAGCACATATTATGTCGTTCATGAGAGCAATGCCGGAGTAAAGGCAATCAGTACGTAACGTCTTGTCGTCTGCTGTTTCTCCTTGTTTGCGTGAACATTGCAGTTATTGTCCCCAGGCTTCAACCCATCTCGTGTCAAATGCCTCTTGTCCACCGGGTATTTCCCATTGCTGTTAGCTGAACCAACGCTGCGGACCTGTATTCCAGGTCATACGGTTACCATCACGGTTCAGAGTCGCTGCTGTGTATATATTTATGTTCCGTTTTGTGTTATTTCTGCTAGTACCTATTACCATGCAATGCTTTCGAATTGTTATACTCCCATGCTAGCTGTACCATGTACTTCAAAGTAGGAATTTTGTGATCCGCGAGGGTGACGTAAGTTGCTCAAATTTGGAACATATGTACACATATGGCCCGCTGCTGTTGTTCCTTGCCAGTGCTATGGCTGTTGCTGTGTTGTTTGGCAAGTAAATTCTCATTTCCACAACTTTATTTCCTCCATGATTATTGTACCCCTGAATGAACACATGGTTGTGTGTTAGCTGTGGGTTTTGGCATGGTTCTAGTCCTGGAGAGAAGAGACAGTTCTCGCTCTAGGGATTCCAAGTAACACGCGCGCACGCGCACACACGCTGCATTCTTAAGGCGGGAATGTATTACGCAACATGAATAGCAGCTAGCACAATTGCCAACGTACAGGAGCACGTTGAGTGGTCCGCTTTCCTGAGCTAACAACTGCACCATTGCGCCATGGTAGGGCATTCGTTGGCTGATCTATACATGTAGCTGCTTCTCTCCAACTCCCTCAAACGTTTCAAAAAATATTGCGCCCATTCGGCTGACGTATAATTGTAGGGTGCGTTCTTATATTCTCTAGCTTCTAGAAGAAGAAGAAAAGAGAAGTCGAAGAAACTGGGATTACTCAAGAACGGGTCTCGAAGAATTCGGAGATATTTTGCACATGTCAAGCAAAATGAAGCGTCAAAGGGGCCGCGATCTTGAGTGACGAATGTATGTGCGTATGTGAAAAGGGAAATGCGTACACTCATGACGAACACGCGGCTTTTAGTCGTAGTTCGCATGCGCTGATCCCAAACCGCGGGAATCTCCAAGTTTCAACCACCTCTGAAGCTTGGAGAGCCTCCTAAAAGTCGGAGAGGATATAAGAACAGCTCTCGAACGTTTCGGAGAGTCTCCGACTTTTCCGAGAGGATTTAAGAACGCACCCGAAGTCATGTAGCTACTCTCGCAAGTATTAGTTCTCTCCAACTCCCTCGAACTTTAAAAAAATATTGTACCCAAAGAGGTACACATCCGCAGTGGCGTTTGCGGGATGCCTCAAAAACACAAATCCTGCATGCATTGCAACTTCATGCTAATTGCAAGGCTCTGCGCTTAGACGTATGGGACAAAGGTGCCACTAACACTACAATCATCCGAGTATGGAAGTGTCGAAGTTTCTCATCCTCTGCCCTCTCACGAGCAACTGTATTTACACAGAGTCGACAAATTATGGTTAAAAAATTGTTTTAGGAACCGAGCAAAGAGCACTCACATCATTCATGCAAAGTGCACAAGGCGTACTAACGACATACACCATCCACCCAGGGCCTTGAAAGTTAAATGCTGGCCAAAAGAACATTCGGACTAGAAGACATGTTACGAGCAACGGCAGCCCAAGCTGTACTCAGTAATATGTATTAGCTATCGGAGCGCCATGGAACGCACGGAGACATGCATACACAAGCATGTCACGGAACACGACCCCATTACTAGCCGGACACAGAAACACAAAAACCACACCCCCTGGAGTGCCAAATGAGATTCAAGGCTCAATGCACTGAAAACAGGTCACCGACGATCAGGATTGTGGAAACACGTCAAGGAAGTAACCGTTCACAAACAACAACCAACACTAATACACATTGCCATAGTAACAGCACAAACAACAACCAACACTAATACACATTGCCATAGTAACAGCACAAACAACCAACACTAATACACATTGCCATAGTAACAGCACAAACAACCAACACTCACCGATACACGTTGCCATAGTAATAGCACATTTAGAACTGGAAATTCAAAAACAACAGTTACTGGTGAACAGAAATAAGTTATCAAAGCAGCCTACTAGACATAGAATAGATCAAAGTTGCGCTGGGCTATATCATCTGAAATACATGTACTGGTATACGCCAAAACAACCAAACAAGCTCAGTGTTCGATAGCCATAGAAGAATACAACTCAGTATTGTTCGGACAAGAACGCCACAGACACAAGTAGTACATTACGTCTGGTCTGCGCTGTGCAGTCACTGTGTGCGACAAAGACCGCGGACCAATGGCAGTGACACATTTCAAGCCACGTGGTCACCGGGTACGAGGTAGAGCTCTGCATCAGCCCTCAGTGACCGGTGTCCGAGTACTCAGCACACGTCCACAGGAGCATGTACACAAGCGCGCATGCACTTGAGGGGAGAGGGGGCATGCGTACGAGTAGAGTGAATGCTGTAATAATCTCTGTAAAGAAAGGGTTGTGATAGTAGAGTCGGTATATGATAAGTTGGTTACTAGTAATGGTCTGCTGTGGTCTCTGTGTAGGTTTCATGCAACATTGATGTGATATGGATAAGAAAATAGCACAGCGAAGCATGTTGCTAGAATCAAATAAAGTCAAACATCAGCAACTTTGCACTGCTGCAATCTGTGGATTAAGCTATAGTGATGTCTATACTTGCGTTTCAACTTTGGCCGCAGGAGCGGCAGAAGAATTCTGATTGACGATTGCTGCAGACTGCCGTTCACTGGCTACTGATCTGACACTGAAACGGGGCTGTGTAGCGGGACTAGGGACTTCTTCCAGGGGCTGTAAACTGTCCATGGAGATTCGCCGGCGTGCGTACGGTGACTTATGTGCATCACCCGGAGACTGGTCATCAATGCTTGGCGTGTGGCCATGATGGCTGCTACCGACCACTGGCTGGCTCACTACAGCGTGAAGTGGTCGATGGCGTGCTGCAGCTTGCACAGCCTGAGGCTGGGGCAGGGTGTGTGCCATGGACGCTCGCGAATCCGAGTACATACTCGTGCGGTGCAGCATGGTGACGTTACTCTGAGCGTAGGGTTGATCAACGAGAGTTACGCCGGACGATTGATGGTTTGATGTTGGCAAATCGGATACATGGAGTCTTGACTGCCTGGAGTTATCATTTCCCGCCGCCACCGTATTCTGATTACTCTGCAGCATTGCCATGGCAGCCGTGTACTCGTGCCGAGTCAGTACGGAGGCTGGCACTGCAGCTGACCTAGCTTGTCCAGGTGCCGTTGTCACAACGTTCTGAGGAATGGACTCATTGCGACGTGGTGGCAGAGGTCGCTCTTTGCCAGTTCGCAATGCTCCCGGCATTGACCAATTTGGATCGGCAGGAAATGGAGTGACATTCGCTCCGGAGTTGGCAGTAGCTGATACCGCTGACCTTGCCACAGCAATATTACCTGTAGAGATGTTACCTGCAGAGATGCTGCCTGTAGAGATGTTGCCTGCAGAGATGCTGCCTGTAGAGATGTTACCTGCAGAGATGCTGCCTGTAGAGATGTTACCTGCAGAGATTTTACCATGAGAGATGGTCGAAGCAGAGGCTGCTGGCTGAGAAAGAGCTATGTTGGCGGAGGAAAGGCTGGAGTGTGACGTGTTGGTGACAACACCGTTGGACTGCATGTGATGCCTGCTGGACCCACCACTAGCAAGCACCATGACTGCGTCCTCACTCCCTGAACTGTTCCCGTCACTACTGACATCACTGCTGACACTGCTGCTATACTCGCTGGCAACGGGTGGTGTGCGTGACTGCTGTATGAGCTGAGGGCCCGTCCTGGCCAACTTGGCATGCCGGCCTGATACGGCAGACGGCTGATCTGCAACACGAATCTCTGCACTGGGTACCGATTGGGAGCCAGTCTGTGCTGACTCTGTATCTGCCACGATGCTGCCTGCTGTTTGGGAAACTGGAGGGTGTGGAGGTTGAGCATGCATCTGCACTGGAGACACGGTATCTCGAGAGCTTGCCCGGTGCGCACTGTTTGTTTCATACTGAGTGCATTCCTGTGCTGCGGTACGGGCACCGACACCATCTGTCTCGTCCCCAGCAACGGATGTGTGAAAACCGGACGGCGTTGATTCGCCACTGGTGATGTAATCATGATCATGATCCACTAACGACGTCATACTGGGAGAGACACGATCAGGAGTAGTTGCAGCTGATACGACTACATAGTCATGGTCATGTTCTACATAACTAACCTTCGATACTGCGTCAGACTGTGCATCGGGTGTATCACTTCTGCTTGATACTGATTTGGCAGATTGGTTGTCGCGGTTGGAATCATTCATTGCGTCTGCCGCCAGCTGAAGCGGAGATGCCACCAGTGCTGATGGCGTAGAGTTGAGAGATCTAGCTAATGGCAGGTCGACTGACGAGTGTCTCACTAGTCTGATGTGGCGGTTGGTTGCGGATGAGAGTGACGTGGCGGGTGACTGACCTCTGAGCGGCGTCAGTGACTCGCGGTAATCCGGTGGGTCCACGGATGATTCCCGCGAGAGACTTATCGACGTCTTCGGCGATGGAGATCGCTGTCGGCTGAGCCACTCCGGCGTCCTCACTCGGCTCAGTAGAGATGTCGAGAGAGACATCATGGAACTTTGTGTTATTCGTCCATCTGTAACGTTTGAGGATGGTCCTCTATCGCTAGCAATCTTGTTTTCTTCGGTTAACTGCTTCTCTACCGACTCGTGGAGCTTGCGGCGCGCCACTTCTAGATGTTTCTGTCGCTCAACTTCATCACACAGAACCGCGTTCTTCGGCACACTGACATCATACGCCTGGAGTAGGTCTTCTAAGTACTTGCCAACACGTGCATAACTCTCTAACTCCTTGCTCTTCTGCTCCACATCATATTGCAAGCGACCGGTCTTGTCCCGCGCTTGTCGCAACAGCTGTTCATTTTCATAGTGTTCCATTTCCAATTCCTCAAACTTGTCTTTCATGTCTTCCAGCTGATAATGCAGAATGGTGATGTCTTGCTCTTGTTCGCGGATCACATCCAGCGCTTCGTCCAGCTCAACCATATCCTCGTCGACCACGGCAATTGTTTTACGACGTGGTAACGACTCGGCTTTCAGCGGCTTTCCCTCGTCCAGACCAAGGTCCAGGAGGTTTGGTGGTAGCGGTGGTGGTTCTGGTGGCCCAGTTGGCAGTGACTCTTCTAGCTGCTCATGATCAGATACTGCTTGTTCGGCTGGCGTCGGATCTGCAGGTAGTGAAGACGGCGAGGGTGACATTGATTCAACACTGACTTCAGGTATGGGGCTAATCGGAGAGCTCTCGCCATACTTGTCTGCCATGTCAGTACCGGCCGCATGGAGACTGGCCTGTCGCAGGAGCTCTACTTTGCGTTGCAGCCGCACCCGTCGTGTGCTTGCACTTGTACCATCACTGCCCTGTGGCGATGCAGCAGCCGTGTGCTGTCGTTTACCATCCACTGAGTCTTTGACATGCGCTGCTACCAGTGGCAGTAGGGGCAGGCCATTTGTATCAGCTACCTTCTCCTCTACACCATTACATGCAGTACTGACGCGGGTGCTGCTGTTTTCACCGCCCAGAGCTTCCGTACTGTTACAAGAGCCAACAGGACTAGGTTGTACATCATAGCCACTAAACTCGTGTGTTGCCTCCTCGGACTCAGCTGCTGCCACGCCATGCGCACGCGGCGTTATGGACGATGTCAGACTGCAGCTATGACCAAGTCTGTCCCTGGAATAGTGCAAGTCGATCGATCCCATTGAGCTACGACGCGGCGTGGACGTAGCGATCGGAGGAGTGTTGGTGCCCGATCCAGAGTTGCGCTTTCCACGCTTTCCACTCGTAAAGGATCTGCGCATTTCCGATCGACGCTCCTCGTCAATAGCCATGTTTCCCAGGATTTTCAACGTGTTCTCGTCGACATTCGGGTCAGTAACGACCAACTCCACTGCATTGCTGGTCGCAATTCCCAGAGAAGAGGAACGACGCGCTAGTCTACCCCCTCGACTCTCATTTCTAGCGTGCGGCGATGAACGTGAAGCAACATCGTCGACGACATGATGCACGCTAGGCGTAGCAGCGCTCTGTGCAGTGTCCTCCATTCTAGCGTGTCCAAATACTAGAAGACGGCCAGACGGTAGCAGCAGTCCACAGGAAATGGACCCTGAAATAAAATGACTAAACGGTTCAGCAAACGGTTTAGCGGGTTGATTTCGCTGCGAAGTAGACCTACGCTAGGGAAGGCCAGACAAACAACGCTGTTGCACTGGACACGTAAACAGCTTTCTGTGTTCGTAACATTCCTGTGTCGCAGACTCGTATCTACGCTACTGCGCTGGAACTAAAACTGAGAAAGGGATGATCGAAATGAAATCCACAACAAACTGAAGCCTCCACCTGATAAAGTCAAGTGAGAGCAGTTCCCGAAATGCCCCATTCCATCTCGGATATCCGCTGACTCTGTGGCACTGTATAAGTGTTATGTGGGGCACGCGGTGCAGCTAGCTACTCATCATTACTAAAGACATTAGATAGACATCAAGACACACACTCTGGTGACACGTGCACAGTCACAGGTACGCTGAGTGACACACAAGTACAAGACTTTTTAATTAATAGTACACAAGTCTGTACACGCAGTGCAGATCTACTACTGACCACTGTAGTGTAGTCATTGTTTGGGACAATGGGTGTGCGGCATGTGCGGCGCTACTACTACTAGTACTAGTACAGTAGTAGTACTACTAGCGCTGGTGCCAGTGGCACTGGCAGTGGTGGCAAAAGGCAAAACACAGGAAGCTGGAATACAGTAGGCGGCCTGGGCTTGGGGCCATCCCTAGGCCCTGTGCATGTGCCTAGATCTACAGCCCGCAGCCGTACTGGGGCCGTGGGCGCTTCGTGGATTCATTTTTGTGATCGAGTGCAGCAGAAGTCTCACGCTAGAGCTGCCATGATATGCATGCATGGATATGCGCATGCCATAACGACTTTTTTTAATTACGTCTTTGGCGTTTGGCATAAGGCCTCTGCATGCAACAGGTTACAGCTAGACACAAACTTGACAAAGGGCACTGCTGTCTGGCTACTGCAGGAAGTCCCATCGTCCTCCTCCTCGAGGCCTCGTCAACATTCGGCTTTGCTTTTTCCGGCTTAGCCGTTTTCGCATTTGCTCAGGCTTTGGCTCTACAAACCAATAATCACTGTATTGATATTATCATGTCCAACGGCGGCAACAGTCACTGAGTCAGTGTTTCTACACCATGGCCGGGGCATGATGACTGATGTAGACGCAACGACGCAATTCATTTGGATTGTGTGAGGCGCTGAGTACAGTGATCATGTTACGTAATTGTCGGCGACTTCCAAGTAAGTATGTTCCAACCGCTGTCATTTTATCCCTACACTTACAGCCTACGGCTACGGTATCACAGGCCAGGGTTGGTTGCAGCAGGTTTAGATCGCCAGTGCAGTGTCAGTGACGCGTTACGAACTAACTACTTGTGATACTGAACTGGCCATAACCACACGTACACGCAAATGCCGCAAATGCCGCTGTGCCTGGAATTATCTCCTTGATTTAGGCAATTATTTGCCTTATTCAGTTATTGGAACCTGGTTAGCTCACCTAGAAGGCTAGATGGGTACCACTGCTACAGGAGATCTACTAAGTACTAGGTATGGAGGCTCCGAGCAACCATCACAAGCGCAGCAGGTGGACATACCAACACAGTAGATCTACCTATGAATGAAAATAACTCATGTTATCAGGCAGAGCCGAGCTAGCAGACACATATTTAGCAGTTTAGGGAAAGCTCGTCCCACTTTTAGGGTCACGGAGTTCAACTACACTACAGACGTCAGCTCCCAGGTGTTTACCTTTGTCGATAACGATGATTTATCATGATTATGTGGCACACCTCCTTGCCAAATAACTGTTCATCCAAATATCATCACACACAAAAGCGGATTTTACCTCCCTCAGCCTAGCCCTACAAGTACATGTACATGTAGCCTAGCCTTACAAGTACAAGTACAGTAGATATCGGTTATAAAGTCATCGACATAGTAATAAACCGGCTATATTGATACAAAAGCAAAACCAGAAAAAGCCAGTCAAATATCATTATAACCAATATATCAGATATAGCGATAACTCGGCTATAAGGATACAGAATCACAAAACACCTCTTTGACTTTGTACAGAAAAAATATCGTCTATAATGAAAGCAACACACGAGTGTGAGGCATTGATGTCTCGACTTGGAGCCACATGTATGTTTTCATAGTGTATTCTGGTCTGATGCTTCCTGGATGATGCCTTAGCAGCCAAGAAGTTCTCCGCTCTAGACTGGAGAAGGTGCAGCAGCATGCATCATGTATCAGAAATATTCAGTACGCTACATTAGCGCGATCGAGTACCCACACGTGTATAATGTGTATGTATGACGCGCGCAGTTGAAAATCGCCTGTAGTGATATACCGGTTATAGTGATAAATGTGAAAAATCAGAAGGGCACTTTATAACCAATATCTACTGTACTAGTAGCTCAGCCTATTTTTAGCTCTGATAACACGACTGAAACGGCTGAAACAGACTGAAACACTACTGAAACGGCGTCGCAAACAATCTTCACTCCAGTGTATACATGTAGCAGGTGTACAGTTATCGGGTTATCATGGTTATGAGGTGTAGACTGTCTGTAGTGTAGTGTCGGCATATGTGTGATCAAGGTGATATCCCCCCCCCCCCCGACACCTACAATACAGTCATACATGTACAGTCATGTACAATTGTAATCATGGTAATGTATCTCCACAAGAAGAACCATTCTATAGCATAAGCGGAAGGATTCCTGAAAGACTAAGTGGACAACGCCATTTTGAAAGTGTGTTCTAAAAAATGAGAGTGGGGAAAATGGGTTGTGGTAAGGAACAGTGCCTGTCAGAATGAAAAGAATGCAAAGAAAAACTCATGCTGACATTCTTCATACCCACTCCAAGGCATTGGATAGGATTCCTGACCTACTACTACTGTACTAGTATTACTTGAGTATTAGTGTACCAGGATCAACATGCACACTGTGTCAGTAGTAGTACCCGAAGATAAGTGCCGGACTGGGCATGCAAACACCACAATAATACATACAGGTGTAGTTGAGGCTTGTGGCTCAATGTAGTTGAGAGGTGCTGCTCGGTGCCACACAGTCACTGGTCATAGTATGGTCCTATGGATTGTGCCTTTTGTATGAGACCAGCTGGAGAATGTGCCATCACACAATCCTGGCATTCAATGCATTCCAATGTGGCAACATTGTCTTGAACAGTGAGCCAGGGAGTGCAGTGTGGCACTCACTGATTTGATTAAATTACAAGTGAAGATTCTGAAGAGTGAAACTCACACAACCTTTGAAGGCTTTCTCCCCACTGGCCATACAGCTAGCACTGAACTCTGTACTCAGACACTCTGTAGAAAGTAGAAAGGCGGAACTCTAGACATACCGTACAACAATGTAACACGTCATGTGATAAATCTTTGGATCAAGTAACTAACAAAGAGTATCCTACATAGCACATGCACATGTAGTCAATTCTATGCATTGTTGTCATGTTCACTCATATCTCCCGTATCAGGGTGGTCCCGGAACTGGGCATTGCCCATAACTTGGAGATGCCCCTAACTGGGAAGCACGCACATGTAGACTACCTGTACATGTACATGTACGTGTTGATGGAGAAGCGCTGGCGATCTGGTATATGTATCTGATGTCACTGATCTGGTATATTATGTATCTGATGTCACTGATCTGGTATATGTATCTGATGTCACTGATCTGGTATATGTATCTGATGTCACTGATCTGGTATATGTATCTGATGTCACTGATCTGGTATATGTATCTGATGTCACTGATCTGGTATATGTATCTGATGTCACTGATCTGGTATATGTATCTGATGTCACTGATCTGGTATATGTATCTGATGTCACTGATCTGGTATATGTATCTGATGTCACTGATCTGGTATATGTATCTGATGTCACTGATCTGGTATATGTATCTGATGTCACTGATCTGGTATATGTATCTGATGTCACTGATCTGGTATATGTATCTGATGTCACTGATCTGGTATATGTATCTGATGTCACTGATCTGGTATATGTATATCTGATGTCACTGATCTGGTATATGTATATCTGATGTCACTGATCTGGTATATGTATCTGATGTCACTGATCTGGTATATGTATCTGATGTCACTGATCTGGTATATGTATCTGATGTCACTGATCTGGTATATGTATATCTGATGTCACTGATCTGGTATATGTATATCTGATGTCACTGATCTGGTATATGTATCTGATGTCACTGATCTGGTATATGTATCTGATGTCACTGATCTGGTATATGTATCTGATGTCACTGATCTGGTATATGTATCTGATGTCACTGATCTGGTATATGTATCTGATGCCACTGATCTGGCATATGTATCTGATGTCACTGATCTGGTATATGTATATCTGATGTCACTGATCTGGTATATGTATATCTGATGTCACTGATCTGGTATATGTATCTGATGTCACTGATCTGGTATATGTATCTGATGTCACTGATCTGGTATATGTATCTGATGTCACTGATCTGGTATATGTATCTGATGTCACTGATCTGGTATATGTATCTGATGCCACTGATCTGGCATATGTATCTGATGTCACTGATCTGGTATATGTATATCTGATGTCACTGATCTGGTATATGTATCTGATGTCACTGTTTCCACAACATTGGCAAAAGAGTACCACAGGTGCTCCGTAGACCGAGGTGCCCGCAATTATTTCAATTATTTCAAGGTTCGGATAATAGAGATACTGCATGTATATCATGACTCTATGTATATGTGTGAGTGTACAGTGTACGGTGTACAGTGTGTCTGTACAATCATGTACCCTGTACAGTGTACATGTATGGGTGTACACTGTACACCCATACATGTACATATAGAAGTGTCATGTGTACCCTCCCTCCCCTCCCCTCCCCCCCCCCCCCCTCCATCTCTGCTCTTTATGCAAATTTGGATGATTCAAGTAATTCTTTGATTGAAGTCACATTGAATAGGTCAAAGTTCATATCCAGAGTATGATCAGAAGAAGAAAAAAACCTGTGCTCATGTGGAATCTCAAGCCCGACATAGTACATGTATAGTGTATAGAGTATAATCACGGTACTTGTAGGCAAATCAACTTTTTTAGTGCTCTCACTACACAACTATTAAAGAGACGTTTAAAATGATCAGTTATCATCAGCGTTGATGATCTGCACTGCATGTCTTACACGTATGGTGCACGACATACATGCTATCCATTTATGGGACATCACACGTCTTCCAACCATCTCCATTCGGCGATGATTTGTCCACACTCAGCAAGGTGGGCGATGCGGAGTAAACCGACAGCCCTGGTTGGTACCATGGCCATTTGATGCTTTCTGCGAAATGCACAGAAACCTGCAGCGTAAAGAGTCAAGAGCAAGCCGATAAGGCAATGTGATACAATAACATTTAGCCTACGTGATCCATGCATTAGACTGATGCATTACAATACCTCAAACAAGGGGTATCGTAGGGCTGAGTGATATCCACAGTGTGTGCTTGTAAAGACGTTGGTGTGTGTGTGTGTGTGTGTGTGTGTGCACGTGTGTGTGTGTGTGTGTGTGTGTGCACGTGTGCCTGCACGCATGCGTGTCCATGTGTGTATGTGTGGGAAGGGGGGGGGGGGGTGGTGGTGCATGGACATCGTATGCATGAAGCATGTCACGACACTTTGATCAGTCTGCATACCGTTTGTTGGCACCCAAGCCCAGCTCCTCGCCATGGCGACCAATCTTCATCATTTTGGCCGGCAACATCCAGGAGAGACGACGCTCAATGAAAATTAGACTGGCTGTCACCTGAGGGAACGTAACGTAAGTAAAGTTTGCACATCCGCGTTACCATCGGCTTACGATTGTGTTGAGAACACAACCATGCAGCTTAGAGAAGTTTCGCTTCTGCCAGGCCACCTCCATGGCTGATTATACCAGGGTGGTAGAGGGAACGTGAGAGGCGTAACATTACATCACGTACTACAAGCTATACATATACAAAGCATACAGGTACACTCAAACGTCTCTTATCTGGACGCCTCAGATACGGGCACCTTCTCTCTACCGGGCACCTTCAGCTTGAGTTCCTATGGCAAAAATGCTTCGAATTTGGGAGGTTTGAGCTTTTTTCATATGCGCAAGTGCTTATTTGTCACTGCCAGCCTGTGTAATCCACACATTGTTATCAATGGATTCTTTTTGTATCCTGAATATGTGCAATATGTGCCAAATAAACTTCTTCAAAAAATGATATGATACGTCATGGTAGATGACTTATCCGGAGATACGGGCAAATCTGAGATACGGGCAGTGCCGGGTCCCAAGGTGTCCGGATAAGAGACATCCGAGCGTATAACAGAATGATATCAACATGATCTGGTGATACATGCATGTTGTAAACTAGTGTTGAAACGAATAATCGAAAAATCGAATAATTTAGAATATTCGTGGGGTGAACGAATAATCGAATAGTCGTAGGAATTATCAGAAATCGAAAAAAAAAAAATAGGTCTATGCTCAGTGCTGACCCTGCTGATATTTGCACGGCGTAGATCTGCTCATAGTATTTCTTCTCAATCTCCTCTCCTCCAAGTTTTAATCTCCTATCGGTATATAGTAATACTTCTGTTCTTTCCATACGAGGGAAACATGGATGCAGTGAATGTGATTTTCGGTCTTTGACCACTTTCGACCAAGACCCTATGCAGAGCTGGATCAGGCGTTGCACACTCTGGGGGGTTATGTACTCTTTTTATCTTGGCGGTATAGGTTAACCGGTTTTGCACCTCCACATAACAAAATCCGATATTAATCAGCAAAAAAAATTTTTTTTAACTACTTAAAAAGTGCTGAGAAAGTGTTGAAAAATGCCATCATGTGTATGATAGAATATAGATTATTCGTTCGAAGAATCCGTGTTCGGTTTAAACACTATTGTAAACCAATGCTTTTGTATTCACACATTTGATCGGAATGCTTTTGAGGCACGAAAAGGGCATGCCGAGACGGCCATTGCATAGTCGTGTGGTCTTGGAGGCATCTTAGCTGCCTGACTGCACATGGACGTTCTCTCTTAGGACCAATTTACATGACAGGGGTGGCTTTTGCCGAAAAGCAAGGCCGCAATGATGCAATTCTGAGAGCATGCAGGCGGAGGGGAAAATCGAAATTCGATTTGTTTGTGGTTGTTGTGTTTATTTTAATTCGCAAACCAAACGGGCAGATCTGCCCAATGAAAAGGTGGCGAAATTTCACAGGGAGCATGGCAGGACAGCTCCTGCCCTGAAAAGAACGTAGCTCAATGGCTGCTAGGTATAGTACTTTGAAGTATGTACGGTGGAGAGTGAACACATGAACTAGTAGCCACTGTGCAAAACGGTCAACCGGTCGTTTCTAAACGGTTATATAACCGGCAATTAAAGCCGCTTTCTGTTCACCCCTATAATACGACATACCAGAAGAAGCTGTTTTGTTGCGTGGTTGCCATGGTAGCATGGCAGTGTAATATCACCACACGTTGTGTAGATAAGACTCGGATTAAGAGCCTGAGTTTACCTTGAAGTAAAATGAAAACAAGATCAGAACCTTTACTAGTTTGAGGGAAAGAAAAGAAGATTTTATGACTTGGGGCTCCCCGCGTGCTAGAGTGTACGTGAAGTGTGTGGGTACAGTGAGGGCTGCGTCCCACCCGCCTGTGTGGATTCACAGGAAGTGTGAGTTACGAAGTCTGAAGAAAATGTTGAACAGTCTAAAAAAAAAAGATCAGAACCATACACATTATCCGTTGTTTGCAAACTTGTGAACTCTTCGTCCTTCTCCATTTTCCTTTTTGCTGTGTAGACCTACCAGAGTTTTCCAGTTGACGTCGGCATTCTCCAATAGTTTATCTTGCCTATGCTGCATGGTAGCGATGAGGAAGTTGATCAGCAGAAGATACGAGATGATCAGAAATAAGATCATGTAGACAGCGATCCAACCGGCCACTTTGGTTTGCCGTATTTCGGCAGTGGACACGTCGGTGAGGCCCAGGGACATGCGGAACAACGTGAGCATCGCGCGCCAGAATCCGGAGAACTTGAGCGGACTGGACGGAGCTGCTTCCTGAAACAGGATGTAAAACACTGTGTGCAAACGCAGAACAGAGTGCACGGATATGGGTATGATAAAACAATGTGTGTAAAGATAGCAGCTCAGAGCACAGATACAAATACGCTAAAACAGTTTTTAAACATGCCAATTAATATGCGCTTTCATTACCAATTGAGTAGGTACTGGTGATAGTAATACTTGCCCATGTATGTCCCACATTTAGATTCAATCCAGCTAAGTGCCACACAGCTAAAGATGTAAGCACTCAGGCCGGGCTGCAAAAACTGCAGCAGATGAAACCAAAATCGATATGGTTTGATGTTTTGTCTAGGTCGGAAAGTCAATACTCGACAGTTATTTTGAACCCTGCAGCCTGCCCCACCCCAAACATATGCTCCTCTATTAAATACCGCAATCTCGAATAGTGCCCCAGTCTCTAAGAGCCAGTGAAAAAATGAAGCCCTCACTTGAATAGCCCCGCCCCCCCCCCCCCCTCCCTCGGGCTTGTATCCTAGCATTTGTGCAAGTTTCAGGTGTTCTTTTGCTAATATGCTTGTCCATGTCACTGAACTGGTGGTTTCAGGAACAAAATCGCAGTTCTTGTTGCCCATTCTGTTGAGTCGTGATAGTTTACAATACAATTTAGGCTCTGTTTTTCTTTGCCTTCTTTGCTTTTATGCTGGATGACACAAATGTACCAGCCTTGAGAAATAGTGCCCTCTCTTGAATAGTGCCCTCCCTTTAATAGTGCCGTCCCTTGAATAGTGCCCTCCCTTGAATAGTGCCCTCCCTTGAATAGTGCCCTCTCTTGAATAGTGCCCTCTCTTGAATAGTACCCTCTCTTGAATAGTGCCCTCCCTTGAATAGTGCCCTCCCTTTAATAGTGCCCTCTCTTGAATAGTGCCCTCTCTTGAATAGTGCCCTCCCTTTAATAGTGCCCTCCCTTTAATAGTGCCCTCCCTTTAATAGTGCCCTTTTTGGGATGGGCATTAAAACAAATAGTGGCCCAGGGGCACTAATCGCACGAGTACGGTAATCACTATAATTGTAGTGAACAGTGCCTAGAAGCCTCGGACACAGTAATTTCCCGGTGAATACGGCACACTGGTGTCTCTGATAGGCAGGACAGAAATGTGCTCTGCGGCCTTTAATCCAAACATGTCTGCACACCCTTACGAATATGTATTTCAGTACAGACAAGAAAGAAAGGCTGGGGTCGCAGACAGTACCCCAGCGTATCAAATGGCTATAGCAGGCAAGCAGCTTGCCATCTTGAAAAACCACAGGCAAGTGGCTTGATCGCTACAGCGCCTATCATAACAGATATGCACAGGCCCGACTCACCAAGACTGAATCCAATCAAGGTCTTCATGAAAATGATACAAAACCGCGGAATATCCTTGAAGAATATCTGCCGGGCACAAACAGAGAGAAGAGAATGCCGAACGGATGTCAAACCACGGAGAAAAGAGTGGTCAGTTTTGAGGAAGTACCAAGCTATCTCCTAATCTACAACTGAGGTGTTTAGTCATTGTCATGTGTGCCACGGTGGTACACTCTTTGAGGCAGAAGTACGGACATCAACAAGGATTTCCAATGAACCCTTGTAAATTGCAATTGCGCTAAGCAAACCGTCTCTGCACCCACAGCTGCTTTGGGGTTCGATCACCTTTCTGCACTTTTGCCAATGGCACTCTTGCGCAGTCCATGGTGAACAAGACACAATGGCAAAGAAATTCAGACCTGTATTGGCCATGCTTTTACCTGTACCCAAACTCAGCAATCAGTCGGGACCACCATACAATGTCCATAACCCTGTGTAAAGTGTCCACATTTGCTCTATCACCACCACAAGTCCAGCTGTACATGTGTTGCAATGCACATACCTCTTCCAGGGAGAGCAGATAATGTCCCAGTGGTTTGAAGCATCTCCCATAGGTGAGTGTGTATAACCAGGCCATTAGCACGATCCAAGACAACACCACATCCTCGTAGTCCGATCCAATCACTCGCAGGACAGCTGCCACCAGAATCAGAAGAAGGTACATCCACCTGTACCCAGACAAACACAAACACACACACACACACACACACACACACACACACACACGCACCTTTTTGGACCTTTTGACGCCCATCGCCAGAGGCGATGATAGCGATGCTACAGCAAAGCCATAGCAGCTTGTGCTGGGATTGCACCATTCAACAGCTTGCAAGGCCGAAGAATTGACCGCCACTACTCAGCCTGGTCTACACCACACAGCTATGAAGTGGCTTTTCTGGCCAGTGAATCCCTACTTTTTGGTTTTTTTCCTTTTTTTACGCACACACATCACACCACATACTCCGGCATGCACTGGCTGTTGGTAACCACCCAGGAGAATGAAAGAAAAGTCAGGAAGAGTCTGAGAAAGAGAAGAAAGACATGTGTGACCATTATCGTCGGGAATCGAACCCGCAACCTATCGATTGGAAATCGCTGCATATACCACTGCACCATATGGGACACACACACACACACGCACTCACACGCACGCACACACACACGCACGCCCACACATGCACACACGCAGGCGCACACGCACACACTCACACACACACGTGCACGCACACACACACACACACACACACACACACACACACACATGCATAACTTTTAGCGTCTTGTATTGAAGCCTGTCTCGCTTAATGGTTTTTGTGAATGTGTTTTTGTTTTGAGGGGACGACGGTGTTTCCCCCGAAACGAACTTGTTCGTTTCGTGGGTTTCTGCAAACATGCGTGATGCTCCCTTATATAGTACATGTGAGTTTCACCATGCACATTGTTTTTGTGAATGTGTTTTTGTTTTGAGGGAACGACGGTGTTTCCCCCGAAACGAACTTGTTCGTTTCGTGGGTTTCTGCAAACATGCGTGATGCTCCCTTATATAGTACATGTGAGTTTCACCATGCACATTGTTTTTGTGAATGTGTTTTTGTTTTGAGGGAACGACGGTGTTTCCCCCGAAACGAACTTGTTCGTTTCGTGGGTTTCTGCAAACATGCGTGATGCTCCCTTATATAGTACATGTGAGTTTCACCATTCACACAAATCAATAATTATATGATGTAAGAAGTCATGTGACCAAGGGAAATACCCTCCGGGTACAGTATTCCTGCAGTGTACCGAGACACGTACTTGAACGCTGTGAACCAGATTCCTCTGCATATCCAGCCATAGGACAGGGCCTGCGAGCCTAGGCGTACAAAGTCACGGATCTGCAGGTACAGAATCACGGGATGGACAACGGCACAAAAAAACTCGTAAGGACGAGAGAACACCACTGTGATAGAAATAGGGCACAATTGATACAGGCCTGATCAAAACTGGTCCAGTTTGACGGTACAAAAATTGGATGTTTTCAAAATTTCAAAGTATGGATACCTCAAAAGCCAGCTGCAGGAATGTGTTGGCCAGGACAAAGACTTCTCCTACTGCCCGTAGGTAGTCCTCTGTGGACGTGTATGCCGCGGCAATCTACAGACAAGCGGGAAAAGAAAGGAAAAAGACACTGTAAGAAGAACTTGTTCTAAAGAGTGATGGCAGTGATGGCAGTGATGGCAGACATGGCAGTGATGGCAGTGATGGCAGACATGGCGCTTCAAAGTAGTCGCCTGATTCATAGGCATCGGTCTGCGTCAGGTTCCCCACAAAATGAGCTAGGGAAATTGGCAGATCATATGGGACCAGATCAACCAAGAAAATTCTAAATTCCTTTGTTTAGTTAATGATCCATGACAAGGTTACATGCATCCATCATCATTATCAATTCCCGTAGCTATGCAGAAGACGTTACTTCAGTAACGTCTGGCGCTAGCCAGAGTCCACACAGCTTTAATTCCCGTAGCTATGCAGAAGACGTTACTTCAGTAACGTCTGGCGCTAGCCAGGGTCCACACAGCTTTAATTTGGTATTTGTTTGTGTGTTTGTTTGTTTGTTTGTTTGTGTCACGCCTGGCGCTATCCCGTATCTGTCCCGTATCTGTCCCGTATCTGTGACTACAAAGGCTCTACAGGATTGTACATAACAGCTGTCCACAATATTTGTGGGCTCCTGTATCTGTCCCGTACCGTACCAATATTCGTCGTATTATGCATACGACTCCCTGATGTGGAGTGGGATTTGGAAAGAAATAGGGAGACGAGGAGGAAATTAAATTAGAATAGACGCCGATTAGGTGATAGGATGCGTCAGCATAAACATACTTTGGAAGAGAGATCCCGTCGTCTCCAAAATAAGCGTGAACGAGCGATTCAGTGCCGGTCACAGGAAACGTCGGAAGAGTGATCCCGTCGACTCCAGAACGCCCGTGATCGGTAGAGTCCGGCGGTACCAGGCAACGTCAGGACAGACATCCCGTTGAGTCCAGAACGCCCGTGATCGGCAGAGTCTAAGCCGGTCCCAGGAAACGTCAGGACAGACATCCCGTCGAGTCCAGAACGCCCGTGATCGGCAGAGTCAGCGCCGGTCCCAGTAAACGTCAGGACAGACATCCCGTCGACGCGCAGAAAAACTAAATCTGCAGCCTCTTTTGCCGTCGAACAGGATACGTATTTATATAGGAGACTGTAAAGTTATGTAATGTCCAAATTTCGACGTGAGCAGCAGGTCACTCGCGTTGATTTTTTGCGACGTGCGAGCCAAATAACGCGAGCTGAACTTTCGCGTCGCAGACATCCCGTCGACGCGCAGAAAAACTAAATCTGCAGCCTCTTTTGCCGTCGGACAGGATACGTATTTTAGGAGACTGTAAAGTTATGTAATGTGCTCCACAGGCAACCATGCATTCGGCGTCGTCATTGGCTCAACAGGTCAATGTACATGTATTACTACAAAAAGGCCAGAAAATCCGATTCCTGTATTAAAATCAACTAATGTTCGCTGGCGATTTAATTTCGCTGATTTCGCCGCTTGGTACCAACCGGCCAAAGTAAATCGCAGGCCAACGTTTGTCATATAGGCAAATGATGCATGATTGAGCAATGGATGCATGTGAGAGCAAAAATACCGATCGATTTCAAATTTGACGTGAAACTGCGCGTCACGTCGGAAATAACGTGCATCTTAACCTCTCTAATCGAGAGGTTTCTATTTCTCATCGGCCAAAATTTGTTGATTTACAATATAAGGAGATAAAAATTAAAGAAGGAGCAAAACAAAAGTAGATGATTATTAGAGAAACAACAATCCGCAATAAATTCTGCAAATACTTTTGAAGAGAGATCCCGTCGTCTCCAAAATAAGCGTGAACGAGCGATTCAGTGCCGGTCACAGGAAACGTCGGAAGAGTGATCCCGTCGACTCCAGAACGCCCGTGATCGGTAGAGTCCGGCGGTACCAGGCAACGTCAGGACAGACATCCCGTTGAGTCCAGAACGCCCGTGATCGGCAGAGTCTAAGCCGGTCCCAGGAAACGTCAGGACAGACATCCCGTCGAGTCCAGAACGCCCGTGATCGGCAGAGTCAGCGCCGGTCCCAGTAAACGTCAGGACAGACATCCCGTCGACGCGCAGAAAAACTAAATCTGCAGCCTCTTTTGCCGTCGAACAGGATACGTATTTATATAGGAGACTGTAAAGTTATGTAATGTCCAAATTTCGACGTGAGCAGCAGGTCACTCGCGTTGATTTTTTGCGACGTGCGAGCCAAATAACGCGAGCTGAACTTTCGCGTCGCAGACATCCCGTCGACGCGCAGAAAAACTAAATCTGCAGCCTCTTTTGCCGTCGGACAGGATACGTATTTTAGGAGACTGTAAAGTTATGTAATGTGCTCCACAGGCAACCATGCATTCGGCGTCGTCATTGGCTCAACAGGTCAATGTACATGTATTACTACAAAAAGGCCAGAAAATCCGATTCCTGTATTAAAATCAACTAATGTTCGCTGGCGATTTAATTTCGCTGATTTCGCCGCTTGGTACCAACCGGCCAAAGTAAATCGCAGGCCAACGTTTGTCATATAGGCAAATGATGCATGATTGAGCAATGGATGCATGTGAGAGCAAAAATACCGATCGATTTCAAATTTGACGTGAAACTGCGCGTCACGTCGGAAATAACGTGCATCTTAACCTCTCTAATCGAGAGGTTTCTATTTCTCATCGGCCAAAATTTGTTGATTTACAATATAAGGAGATAAAAATTAAAGAAGGAGCAAAACAAAAGTAGATGATTATTAGAGAAACAACAATCCGCAATAAATTCTGCAAATACTTTTGCCTAACTCATAATATTCAAACCGATTGAAACGTTTTTGCAATACAATGATGTGGCCAATCAACGGAAAAAGACAATTCCATCAGTTCTTATAACATGTACGATGAGCTAGGCAAAAAAGCATAAAAGCATAGCGTAGGGCCCTGAGCTTCCAAGCTCTCTCGTTTGGTATTCGTTTGTTTGTTTGTGTCATGCCTGGCGCTATCCTGTATCTGTCCCGTACCGTACCGTACCAAACACAGCCGGCCACATACAGCTGGCCGCAATATTCAAATAGGGCTTTCAAATGCAAGATCATAACGTGAAGCAACTTGGAAGAATGAGTATGAATGCGAAGTGTATGGGGGAATGCATGTAGGGCGATAGTGCGGGTTCGAATCTCAGGTCATGCCTGAAAAAATAGGAGAATTGAAAAATTTATAACATCCCTATGCTTTTTTGCATAGGTCATCAAGGCGGTAGACGGTGTCGTATTACCCTCGACCGTACCTGTCCCGTACCGTACCATCAAAGACGGCTGGCCACAATGCATATTCAAATAGGGCTTTCAAATGCAAGATCATAACGTGAAGCAACTTGGAAGAATTAGTATGTATGCGAAGTGTATCGGGGGATGCATGCAGGGCGATAGTGCGGGTTCGAATCCCAGGTTATGTCTTTAAAAAAGAAGGAGAATTTTATAAGAATTTATAACATCCCTATCCTTTTTTTGTCTAGGTCATCAAGGCAAAAAAGCATAGCGTAGGGCCCTGAGCTTCCAAGCTCTCTCGTTTATAGTATGCAAAGGTTGGTGGTGGTGATCAGCATGCTACAGTAGCTACAGTCACCTTGGCTAATAACGACTGCGGATAAAACGACAATTCACGAATAACGACTGCGGATAAAACGACAATTCGCGAATAACGACAGGATTTCCATGCCCAGAGCAAAGTCCCATGTAACTGTAATACATATACCGTATTTCCCTGATTAAAGGTCGCACTCGATTATAAGTCGCACCCCCATTTCCAGGTTTGAGCAATATTGTTTTGATATATTGAGTTCAGTAGTAAGTCATGCTCGATTGTAAGTCATGCTCGATTGTAAGTCATGCTCGATTGTAAGTCATGCTCGATTGTAAGTCATGCTCGATTGTAAGTCATGCTCGATTGTAAGTCATGCTCGATTGTAAGTCATGCTCGATTGTAAGTCATGCTCGATTGTAAGTCATGCTCGATTGTAAGTCACACCCCCTTTTTCACCCTTGATTTTTAGTTTAAAAAGATGCGACCTATAATCGGGGAAATACGGTAATGAGACTTTGGGTATAAGCACACTTCGCGAATAAGGACATTTTTCTGATGCCCCCCGCCTAGTGTCGTTATACGCAAAGTTGACTGTACTTCAAAGTAGTTACTTCAAAGTAGTTACTTCAAAGTAGTTAGTTTGTTGTGCCAAGAACCAGCACAGCGCGTTAGTCGTAAATCCACTACTAAAAAGAGAAGCAGTCTCAAAACACACTGGTTGTAGCTTGGATTACAAAATGTAGATACCATAATCCCTAAGTGGCAGGAGGAAGGAAATGAGCGGTTACCACTGTCCCGTAGGAACTAAGATGCAGTACTGCAAGCAGGCACCTTCTCTATAGTATACTACACACTCACTTGAAAGCAGCACAGCCTGTATGTAGCCACAAGAGACGTACGGGTCATCATCATCTCGAGCTGAATGATTTTCAAAATCATTTGTTTGAAAAATCACACACTTCATCTTCTCACGCGCCCACATCATCATCTAGTGCATCAACTCACCGGCACAGTGCGTTTCATGAGCGGCATGCAGTATCTTGCGGTTGCGTTGTATGTACTTGTATTGGCTGCATCATAGCCATGGCATGCGGATAGCCTGACTGGCCTGTAGAACACAACCAGGCTCAGCACCACCATATACAGAAGGTTGTACATGAGCAGTACGGAGAAACCAATGAAACCATACTGCATCCACTTCAGGTCTACCAACTGCTGTATCGGTGTTGTGTCCAACAGCTGCCATGCCTACACATGGACATGGCCAGGAAGAGGAGAGAGAGAGAGAGACAGAGAGAGAGAGAGAGAGGAGATTGAGAGAGAGAGGAGATTGAGAGTGAGAGAGGAAGGGGAGAGAGAAAGGGGGAGAGAGAGAGAGTGAGAGAGAGAGAGTGAGCATACACACACACACACACACACACACACACACACACACAGAGACACACAGAGAGACAGAGAGACAGATAGAAAGACACACATACACACACACAAACAGACAAAGAAGAGGGAGAAACCGAAGGAGAGGAACACAGTCCAAAGCGGCCACACTGATGTAGTCCAGCACATAGATAGATGGTTATTCGTCAATAAAAAGA